GACAGTTTAAATTCAACAACCTTAATTGCACACATGAGAAACATCTGAAGGGCCGGCGCAGTGACGCAGGTCGTTAGTAGCGGCCGTTGTACATGCCTGACGGTTCACTGGCCAGCTGCAGGAAACAGGATGAATTATTACTTACATGCTAACATTTAACTGTGAGTGTGTGTGTGTGTGTATTACAACAAATTTACTTACTGCAATTGCTGACTTAACAGCCTGCAGCTGGAAGAAGACTTTGCCTCCCTCCTCTGGACACACAGTCCTTATTTCTTGTTTATTCATTCCCAGAAGCTGTTGTCCACTCAGCACCCCGAGGCTCCTGACAGTGCTGTACAAGAGAACAAATAAAATGATATTAAATGCAAGTGTTATATAGATTGCAAACATGAACTTGTCTGTTACTCCGTGGAGAATGCCACTCACATTTTGGAGAAGCCTTTGTACTCAAGCCAGGCTTGCACCTCTGCAGGTGAGGAGGACCTGTCCAGGGTGACAGGGCCGCGAGGATCTCGCTGGAAGGAAGACTGAAATATCAAATGTGAAGGCTGTTTATGAGCAAACATATTTATTTATGTACACGCTTATGGATATGCCCAATCTTAACGCAAGGCACAAAGTATTTTTGACATGAGGCTTTCTGGTTTCTGATTGGCGGGTAGTATTTGAACAATGATGGAAAACCACATTGCTCGATTTCTAGGGAAGCTCAGATCATTTAATGTTTGCAGCAACATGTTGGAGATCCTTTTAAGTGCCATCTGTTTTGCCGTTATCTGCTGGGTGGGGCAGCATCAGTGCCAGAGATGCCAGCAGGATCAACAAACTAATCCAGAAGGCCGGAAGCATCATTGGTCAGAATGTGGAGGCGTTTGAGTCCGTTAGCGTCAGAGGTCACTGAACAAACTGCTCCCCATCATGGACAACTCATCACACCCACTCCACACTCAAGAGGCAGCAGAGCTCCTTCTCCCTCAGACCTTTTTAACTAACTTAATTTGACTTTTCTTTGTTGTTTATCACTGTAGTAAATTTATAAATTTCTGCACTATCTCATAGTATAAGGCCCTTACCGGCCGTCTGTCGCACTTTTATTTTTAACTGTGTTGTTTATTGTAGACTGTAACATTTCTACTCTTTATTATGCTGCTGTAACAAATCAGTTTCCCTTGTGGGATCAATAAAGTATCTGTCTGTCTATTTGAGCAGCTGTTTGGCTGCAGGCAAGTAAACAGTGTGGAGATTCAAAGAGTAAAAGCATTTGCCAAAATCTTGAAACCACATGACATTAAACTTCTTCCACATTTAACATTCATCCCTATTCGTAAGAAAAGAAAAGCAGAACAGTTATGATAAGTCGTCCTGCTGGAAACCATCAGATAATGGTTGATGGGTTCCCAGGTTGCTTGCGGCTCAGCTCACCGGTAGATCGTCCATGTGTCCGGGGTTCCCTAACGACTCCAAAACATTCAGAGGAATATGTCCTTCCTGGTTACGCGCGTTACGAACAAGCCACCACTGCTTTGCTTTCTGGATCACCTGTGAAAGATCCAAATCCAAATACCTCAAATACTTTGGATGGTGGCAATGAAACTACAAGTTTAAAGAAATATTAATGTTATCTGTCGGTCATTCTGTGCTGCAGCTGCAGTGTTTGTTAGAGTTATTTCAGATTCTAGTTTTGCATTTTAATTTCCTGTATAAGGTTCACAATAGTTACAATACTGGTTGGAAAATATAAACACATGATGTGACACACTGGCTGAAAGGCTGGAAGGAATTGAAAAGATCTGCAGTTCCCCTTTTTCTTCTTTTGGAGCTGGAAAAAGTTATCTACAGCACATTTTTAATTTAAGTTTTATTTAAGTTTACAATGCCCCAAATTACTGTTACGTTACATTGCTAATCATATCTGATCATCCAGATCCCCTCAGAGTGATGGTATATTCCTAAATCAAAATCATCATCCAGTTCCCGGTAAATGAAGGTTTGCTTTTTACTCTGTTTTCTTAAATTTCGATGATGTACAACAGTCTACATCGGATAAACACTGCAGATCCTGCTTTTATTTAAAGCTAGAGACAATCCTTATACTGTGTTGGACAAGGTAAGAATAAATCTTGTATTTGCAGCTGTTGAATAATATTTGTGATCTCACCTCAACCACCTCACCCTTCATAACACTCAGCTCTTGGTTGTTTCTGGCCATGAAGTTGTGAATGACACGCATGCCCTGGGGTGGTTCATTGGAGCTGAAAGAGCAGCAGACGAAATACACTTCGTATTGGCAGTGCATAAAATCGGTATACTGAAGAAATGTGATGATTAAGCCATATTTACTGCTGTGTAACAACACTTACGGTGCTGGTGGAGGTGATGGACCCCATGGATTGTTGCCCATAGGCTGTAAAAGTCATAAAATACACCACGATTAACTGAAAAACCTCTTGATGATGGCCTCATTGGCGATATTGTTTTTCTGTTGCCATGAAAATTTAGATTTAAAGGTGCTGAGTGCCAGATGGCAGCAGTGACTACAATTCAAACAACCACTTAGTGGAGATTCTGCAGTTGGTTTAGGAGACAAACTCAGGTAAGCAAAACAGTTCAAAGCAATCTGCTAATCTACCAGGCTATAAACACATTACCAAACCAATTCCTAAAGCAGCTACAGCTACAGCATAACAATTAAGCATCAGCACGGAAACAAAATGAAGTTTTAAAGGGCATGACTGCTGCAATACTTTGAGTTCACACCCAGGTGCGCTACACTGTTTGATGAGCTTCTTTGTTAAGGATGAACCAGGGGGTCGTAATAAGTTCGTACCTCGTCTGGCTGCCGCAGCGTCGGTCTGCCTGGGAAGCGTTGGCTGTTGCTTCTGCTGATTGGACCGTTCTGGAAAGGCGACGGGGATGGTACAGGAGGGGGCGGAGGGGGCTGCCAGCCATCATAGAACTCTGGGATGTAATCTGGGATGTTATTGTCCGGCCATCGAGACCTGCAAGTGAAACAGAGGGCAGGAATTATAAAATGCACAACTTCATCCATGAAAATAACACTTATACAACCTGATAAATAAAAATAAAAAGGTTGCACAAGCTACTTTTTGATACAGGGCTTATTTATTTTCTTTTTATTAACCATCTGTTTAAAATTTAAAATACATCTGCTAGACAACTCTGTCATTTGTCAGCCAGTTTCAACTGAACCGGGCCTCTCAAACATGTTTGTGCTGTTGGTGCCTTTTAAATAATTTTAATTACAATTAGCTGACAAATGAAATGTTTTTGTTTGTTTATTTGTACTTCAAGAAGTCTGTGCTCCAGTTTTGGTGAATTAAAATGTTAGTGTTATAGTTGGATATTGATCACCACTAACAAGCAGGTGTTTGTCTTAGTTTATAGATGAAGTTGATAACTTTTCGCTTTTAGCTCCATCAACAACTGTAAAGCTCAAATCCATGTTTTAAAATACAGCTTCATGTTCTTTTTGTATACTGTGTTCTCCTTGTTTACCATAATATAAAATTATTTATATTAATTATTACTCATTTATTCATAGTGCATAAATCAGCAGTAAATAAATCAATAATAGAGAACCTTTGGGTTGTGTGTGAGGCATTTGGCTAAGTGTAGTCAGACGAATAGTAATCTTTAAATATTTGTAAACCATTAAAAAAACTGGTAAAAAATTAAAAAAACTGGTAAACAACAAGTTGCACAACAATCCCTCAAGTCTTTCGCTGTAAATGTTAAAGAGGTTGTTGAACTTTGAACATGATTCTCAGCTGCAGGTTTCCTTCCAGATGAGCATAAACACAGAGTCTGAGTTTAGTTCACAACTTAGCAACCGAAAAGCTCTTCTGACTAACAATGAATCCATGAGTCATTCAGAAAACAAGGAATGATTATTTCTTAGTATTTCTATGTTTTACATTGGTTATTCCAAATTAAACACTTTTTGCACAGGTATCAATTTGAATACAGCACATGCAAACAGACACGGCCCACAAGTTAGGGCGTGCCAGGGAAGGTATAAGTGTAGTTAAAGTTAAAGGGCTATATATGAGAACGTTCAAAGCTTGATAAAAAGACTAGTAAAAGTGTTAGAGGACTGTTAAAGCTGCCTCACCTGGGGATGTTCCAACACTCTCCCAGAGACATCCACAGCTGGTTCTCCTCCTGGCTGACATTTTGCTTTAGCAGGCCTATAGCGGGGTCTGTCAGCAAGGGGGAGATCACATTGGGAGGCAGGTCAAACGGATACTGAGGAACTATCTGTGGAAAAAAGAAAGAATCTAGTTATAACCAAACAAGCACTATGACTTATCAGTGTTGGGCAAGTTCTCAAACCTTTATTTAACCAGGAAAATCCCATTGAGATTAAAAACCTCTTTTTCAAGGGAGACCTGGCCAAGATAGGCAGCAGCAGGTGTCTCACAGTTACAGAAATTACTCAAACACAGGCAGCAACAACACACATGCAACAATAAGTGAAAGAATACAAATAAAATAAAAATAAAATTCAATAAAATTCAAATAAAAATAAATAAATAAATAAAAAAATCTGTTAAAATGACAATCAATCTAATTGAAACAGTTGCATGTTATGGACTTGGCCTCGAGGATTTGTAGTTTAGATTTAAAAGCACTTAATGAAATAAATTCAGTCATTTTCCTTCTGCAGTTTGTTCCAAGTCGAGGGTGCTAAATGGGCAAAAGCTCTTTTACCAAGTTCAGTTCGGGCAAATGGAACAGAAAGCAACAAGTAACCATGCGGACGAAGAGAATACCGACCAGCATGTTTCATTACAAGCAGGGAACATAGATAAGAAGGCAGCAACCCAAGTATCGCCTTATATATAAAACTGTATAAATGAGAGTTCCTCCGACTTACCAAAGCCGGTCCTACCTGAGAGTATAACTCACAGTGGTGAGTCTGAAATTTACGGTTAGTGATGAACCTCAGAGAAGCACGATACACAGAATCAACCATTCGAAGACATTAAAGTAATCAAAGTTACTTTGAAAAAGTAATTAATTATAGTTACTAGTTACTTCTTCAAAAAAGTAACTGAGTTAGTAACTGAGTTACAAGCTTCTAAAAGTAATTAATTACTTGAAAAGTAACTATTGCGTTACTTTACTGGGGTCCAGGGTATAATTGGCCATTTTTTACTACTTTTGATTTTCCCTCCACATTTCCCCTTTAAAAACTATTTACTTTGCCTTGTTTGGTAAAGTAAATGTGTCTGAATTTACAGTCATGTTTTTATTTTGACAGACTGTTTTAACACAATTGATCTAAACTCAGACCGAAAACATAAAATCTGAGTAGAAAAGGTTAATTTTTTACTGTAACAACCACAAACATGTTTATTGAATCATATTTCATATTTCAAACTTTCATAACTTTAAATGCAATTGTCAATTTTAAAATCCTATGCACAGGTTTTGCAAACAACAACGTTATTTGCAGCCATTTACCTTTATTTAAAAATAACCATTTCAAACTATTTACAGAACCATCAGCTGTTCTGCATTCAGTAAGATGCCACACAAATTCTTTGTGCCACTCCAAAAACATAATTTCTGTCCACTATAAAGGAGAACATCACAACCTGATACCTGCAGGTCTGACAGCAGCAGGTGTATCACTCCTGTTTTTTTACCTGGAGACAGAAGTCGCCTCATTGTTCTGACACACGCCGTTATTCCCATCACTGTGCATTATAGCAGCAGTCGTAGTAGTAGTGAGCTTACCATGTTTAAAATCGAGAAGAGCACGTGGACAAACTCAGGAGCAGAAGGATTGACCAGTATGCCGTCCAGTTGGGCCTGTAATATGATAACGACTCTTTCAGTCACACACCAGTGCTTTTAGTCACAACTGTAAGCATTTAGACAAGTTTGTTGTAAAACTCCTCACGTTAGGAGGAACTGAAGGACTTACCAGCAGATTGAATCCATATTTGACTTTCTGAAGAGAGAAGGCATATTCATCCAAAGAAGGCAGAAAGAGGGGTGGTCCCGAGGGCTCTGATAAGCAGTCACATTAAGCACTTATTAAACTGCCTGTATCTGTAGGAGGTTATCCTTCATAGGTTACTTGTTTGTTAAAAACATAGACTGATGAAGGCTATTACCATTTTTCTTGCTTTTCTTCTTCGTCTTCTTCTTCTTGCCCATGTCCCCCTGCTGTCCAGGTGTGTTTACTGCAGTTGAAACTTTGCCCACGAAGATTTCCAGATCATTTAGAACATGGTTCAAAATGTCCTAAAAGAAAGCATCATATGAAACTCTCAAGATAAGACAGATAATTCCACAGGAAGATTCAATAATTCATAGAAAATACAGAAGTTTTCACAGCACTAACCGTGTTCCTCTGCGTCTTATCACGGTCCATCTCTGGGTTGCTCTGCATGTCATACGGGTCTAAATGGTTCATTGGTTCTAGTTGTGGACTATAGGGACGTGAGGAAGGCATACGATCTGCATTGCAACAAAGAGAGAAAAAAATTCAACAGAAGCTGGTGTGACTTAAACTCGGAATACTAAAAATACTGAGTTTATTTCTTATTTGCAAAGAAGAAATGTAAAAAGTGCATTTCAGTCGCAGTGAATTTCTTTATGTTTCTACTGTACCCGGCTCTCGCCACGATGGGGCCATGAAGTCTGGGGTTGGAGCTCTCCACTCTTCCTGCATAGAGGGGGGCGCAGTCTGACGGAAACTTCCCGGCCTATGTTGTGTCATGGGTTCAAATTCATTCCTGGAAAGAAATGATTAATGAATGAACTGTACTTTCCACATTTGTCCTTCCTGCTTCCCTGTAATTAAATCTTACCCATGTTTTAGGTTTTTAGTTTTTTTTAAACACCCTACCTGACATCCGGAGGCTCTCTGTGTTGGTCCAGATTACTACCTCCTCTTTGGACTGCCTTATCCAGGTCGCTCTTGATCAGATCGGCCTGATAGAGCAAACAGGAAGAGAAATCGACATTACAATTATCATCAGCTCTCTGGCGACTTTGAGGAGGTCAAAGTTAACTCACCCCAGTCTCCTCACACTGGAACATGAAGCACCGGGGGTTGCGTTTGCTGCGTTCCTGCACAGTTATCGCCAGCAGAGAGTTGAAGTCGCAGCTGTCCAGCACAGCTTTGATTTGCACGATACAGCTCAAAGGTACCGAGTCCAGTTCTGTCTGTCAAAATCAGATTGATCGAACGTTAATAGCCAACACTGAAAGTCTTTAAAAAGAG